TAGAGCTTTCTAGAAGGGTAAAAGCTCTGTTATCTTCAACCAGCTTGTAAGTCATTGATAGGCGCGATATCATATCTATTATACAAGCTGAAAGTAAACCGCCACAAGCAAGTAAGTGAAATTTTGATTTTTACTGTTTCTGAACAAATAAAATGTTCTCCCAAAAGAAATTTGTGTTGGCGAATTTAGACAATTTGCATATAAGCTAAACAATCTGCTTCGGCCGAGCTATCTTTCCATTCCTACTCAGGTACATAGTGATCGGCTTTAAAGCTGTCAATCCGTAGACATGATGTTCCCTTCATGGGATAAAACAAATCAGTCTGTTTGAACTCTTTTCGGTACAGGTGATCTCTCATAGCTCTTTAACGAAAAACGTTCTGCGGATACTAAAGAAATTTTCAGCGATTCAAGCTTTGTTTATTCATCTATATGTCTAATTAAGGTGGTTCTACTTAGATATGTCCCTTCCTTTGGTAGGCTATGCGCCTTCCACGTCGGTTTTGGGACGTAAGACACATTAAGATATTTATACCATGATCTATTAAACGACCTTTAATCCTATCCTTTGTCAGCATAATTTTCTCTTACGGAACAGCATTTTTGAGGTGTTAGTACAAGGAATCTCAACCTAACATCGACAATGCCTTCGCCAGTAGATCTTGAAAAGCACATTATATTTGAGCAAAACAAAGTATCACAAATATTTTTTTGAATAATTATTACTAGAGAACAGCACAAGCACAAAAAAAACCTTGTTTCTTTCCGTGGCTCTCTTAGAGAATCAAGCAACTTGTGAACATAACGGAGTCAAGTCTGCTACTAAAAACCCAACCCAATTAGTAGATCATATCAAAGTACTAGCTTTTGCTAAACTGCGTCAAACTAAACTGAAAAGCGAAATGAGTGCGTCGTCGTAAACTTGATGTAATGAGGGAGGCTAAACAATATGGAATGATAATATATAATAACTTAATTTGTCAATGTGAAATAAAGTGACGTGGAAAAAGGCTTCAAATATTTCATTAAAAATACTTAATTCCATAGCATACAAGGATTCAATTACTTTAAATTCTTGCTGCCTTGGATAATTTATTAAGAAGTACT